AAGTTTTTGAATTTTCAGAAAAAAAATAAAATTGAGAAAAACAGAATTTTTTCTTTCCGATGTCAAATTTGAGTCGGGATCGAGATTTTAAATTTACGAACTCGTACTTCCGGTTTTGAACGAACATGGCGGGTAATGAAGGGAGATATGTGTCAAGTCCATAGCAGCACTAAAGCTTGGTTTAATGTAAATATTTATCGATAGGAGTGCCATTCAAAACGTTTCACCCGTTCAGAGAGCAATAAAATGCTGACGACTTTGTTGCAAAGTGACATGTTGGTGAGATAATTGTGTATCCGTATTCAAAAGTAACTGTCTGTAAATAGTGTAATTGTAAATTATTTTCCTCCCACAGGTTTAAAACTGCCCATGGTAGCTATTGTCAGAGACATTGTTTAGGTGTCTGTCATAGCTTACAATCTTAGCATCATTCTTCAGAAAAGGGTCGCTTATGCATTAGATGTAATGAATAAAATTATGGGAGAAGTTAAGTCCATTTGAGGAAGAAATAAACAATAGGCTAAAGAAATAAAATATTTCAACTATTTAAAAACAAGAATATACAAATATATACAGGCATGTAGTATCGTTTATGGCAGCCAGAAAAATTATTTTACACTTAAGTCCGTTTTATGAAAGGAATTATTACTTTTATAGGACTCAAGTATATTAATATTTTAGAATAATTTCTACCTAACACACATTAAAAACAAAAACGAAGATATATTAAAAGAGATTTAAAAAACTGATTTTTTTAAAAAATCTGTATTTTGTCCAACATCAAAAGATTTATATCACTGCCCCCAAGTGGTAGATGATGAAATAAACAATTAAAGGTTGTACTTTCCCCTTTGTAACCCTATCATATGTCCAGTGGCAAGAAGCCTGTTAGGAGAGCATAAAAAAAGAAGAAAAAACTAATGTAGAAAAGTCGATAATGTATCCAAAATATAATTTTATTTTTATTTTTATTTCCTCCTCCTAAGGGACTTTTTCATTCTGATGTTCGTAAACCTAAAAATAAAAAAATGCTGGCCTTATAAACCTTCAAAATGTCAAATGTATGATAAATGCTTTCAGAATGAAAAATGAAATCTGTCATATCAAACTTGAAAGCAAAGTAATAATTGAGTACCTAAACACATCTTTAAACAAATTAAAATAAGTACTGTAGTATTGTGAAGTACTGTACGTGAAATTTATAAGCATTGCAGACACCACAAATAAACTGCACAGGAGAGATGTTAAGAATGATTTGGTTGAAAATTCAAATAATTGCTACCTGATTGAAATGTTTTTTGGTATGAAGTAGGACCGTTAATTTTTATTAGGTACATCTACATTTTAATTATGAAGTACATGTATATTCTGGGGTTATTAACCAAGAATTGAGAGTTTACTATGATACATACTTTTTACTTCACTTAGAGAGTTTTCTAATATTTCAGACTGACCAAATAAAAAAATTATATTAAACTGACATTACATCTGCTTGTTATACATACAATCAGAAATTGAATATAGAATGATAAATGTTGCTTTCTACCAGAAGCATTTGGCATTTGGTTGATTGTAGGCTTCTTACTCAACCATTTATTGTAATGATCTTGATTTACAATAACAAAAAATCCGATACAAAGCAACAGGATCAATATATAATATGGAATGACAATTCAAATGTACGTCAAACCAAGACAAATGAATGGCAAGTATGTGTCTAGCAGTGCCAAATTATGCTGCTTGTCATTATTTATCGAGACCACCTAGTTGCTGATAAATGCAAGGATAACTTGACATACATGTATACATTCTAAATAACCATGCACCCAACCCCCTACCCACACACTATCCAATTTCTTGGATTTGTGCCTAATCACTAATTTTCATTTATTCATGAACTAGAAATAATTAATTTTTAAACTCAATAATGCTTCTGCTATTTTCAGTACAATTCTAATTAATTTAGCTCTTAATTTTCTCAGTCATTCCATTATTGGTATTAGACAGATTTCAAGCTTATAATTATATGTTTTCAACATTCCTGCATGGTTTTCATTTGGACAAGTCCCAACAACCAATGGAAGCAATATAATATAGCCAAAAAAAAAGACTGACATTCATGTGAGACATAAAACAAACATTATATTAGTATGACATAACTTAATAATGCTTAATACAGTCAAACCTCAATATTATGACCTCAGTTGGGATGAGATAAACTTTAGATAATCAAGGATGAATTTTGCTTAAGCGTGCCACTGATTCTGTTTTCTTCCAGGTCTGTGGCCAATAATTGGGCTTATTTTAATTGACACATTGATGGAATACCGTAAATCTGGAAATTTTTACTGTAGATAAATTTTTAGCAAATTTGCGCGTGCAATGCATTCGCAAAAATATTTTTCTTAAAAATAAATCAACATGTAAAGAATTTTTTTTCTGAAAGTTGGTGTCTATTTTCAACTCAGTGAATACGCATCAGTAAGCGCTGGTCATTTTTAAAAAGAAACCTGTTTATACTACTGTAACTCCAAGCTAATTACCCGTGCGTGTAAATTGCCCTCATTACATGCAATATCGTCCTATGGTTTGATAAGCACTGGGACGGTCTGTCCCTTTTTAATTTTGCCAAGAAAGAGAGACCAGTTATTTTATCCAACCATGTATCAACACGGGTGATAACTCGAGCTCAGTGCTTTTACTAGAGAGTTCCAAATGTAAACACGGCTTGTAAATAGGGCCTATTTGGTGAGAAAAAAAAAACAAACGTTGAGAAAATTAGCTATATTTTTGTCTTTATTTGGATTATATTTTAGGTTAAAAGGCATAAACAACCTCTAAAAGGTTTGTTATAATTATTTAGAAGTTATTTTCAGTGCAGATCCTTTTGTATTTTTATCTTCAAAATTGTTTCGAAGCGATTCTGCAATTTCTTGCCATAGGGCTGAGTATTGGCCAGAAATTTTGTATTGCGATATATTGCGATATTTATAACTGTATTGCGATATATATTGCAATATTTTCAACGTAATGAAAATGGCATTTTCTCATTATATTAACTTCAATTTACATGCAGATTGAACATAACTATGAGAAATAACCAAAGGGGAAAATAATCAAGTTTATTTAATTAAACTTATATGCTGAAATACACCCATGCAAAAGCTTCTGTCTTAATGTTTTTCTTAATCACAAACCTTTCTGACAACTTTTCTTAATATTAAATGATAGAATTCCTGAGTCATATCATTTTCCCGGTATATCGGTATTACAAAAACGTATTGCAATACGATATTTTTTGTCAGTGTATTGCAATATACCGAAATATCGATATTTTTGCCCAGCCCTATCTTGCCATGTTGCGAGTATATTGGTGGTATTCTAACTGTGCATACTAAATTGGAACATAAACTGATATGAAAATCTTAAGTGATTTTTATTTTTAGCGCCAGTGACAATTCGCAAAATTTTGAAGCGTAAAAATTAATCAATAGCTTTTTTACCCAAATTCGCAAAAATAAATCGACGGAAAAATTTCCAGATTTACGGTACATTGAGTGATTGAAAACATTGATGTACTGATTGATTGTCATATTGACTGATGGAAAAACTCATTGATTGAAAATGTTCATTGAATATATGTTGCTTCTTGTGCTGTTTGACTGAAGTATTGATTTTCTGAAATATTGACTGATTGATAAATTTATTGAGTGTTGATCTTACATCATAACTAACCAAAGTCGATGTAGCTCACACATTTTAGTTTAATGACATATATATAACATAATACAATAACATAGTGGATTGATATAGTGTTTGTCAAACTTGATTTCAACATGTATTATTAAAGTAAAGCCATGACAAAGACTGCCAATACTGTGTTGTTGATCTATTCTTATTGAAATAATCAAGGATTTCAGATCAAAATGCTTGTCATAATCTGACCTACACTGTCTTGGGAATGGACTTGCAACCAAAATTTTCACTGGGACGTTGACGATTACACTCTCAAAGAGTGTAGCAAAAAGTCTTTCAAACTTATGCTTTTATGTACTAAAATTTTTAAAAACAATTAAAAACAAATTCCTTCCTACCATTAACCAACCCTACTTCTATTAGCAAGTAAAAGTAAACAAGCATATCTTTATCTTTGGCCTAAATTCCTTCTAGACAATAATGACAGAAATGCATTGTCAGCTAGCTATATTTGATTTTAATCAATAAATCTGCATCCACTTACAGATTATCAAGATTTGAATATCCTACAATTTTGTTGTTTCTTTTTACTGTGATAATAATGCAATAAATATGTACTTTAAAATTTTATCAGTATCCCCCCCCCCTCCTTGTTACATTTGGTCATGAAAATTAAGGCATACTAAACCTTGCTGATTCACTTTTAATTAAGTATTCATTTTCATGATTTTTCATTTAACATGAAATACTCACAATTCTGATTTTACAGCTTCCCAGGTATTCACTTTGAATCTTTCTGAGCACTATGAGTATGTTTCAATCAGTTATTCAAGGCCTGCGTGTTTTACACTTACACCTCTCTGGAAATCCTTCTTAATCTGTATGCTAAAATAGATAAAAAAATTTAAGAACTTTTTTAAATTATACACATATTTTTATATGACAGACTTTAACAAATTTCATTAAGTTTCTCCAACAAAACATCAATTATAATTTCAGAGGTCAACAACCTAACTTGTTTACTTATAAGACCAGTTTCAGGTTTTGGTTTACCTCCCCTGTTAAATTTTTTCTCATTTAAGATGAATCCCTGGTGAGAATTTACCCATTCTAAAGTACTTTAATGCACTGACACCACCGTTTTCTTTAAGGATGATTGACGGACACATTGCCATTGGCCGTCCCTCTGGGTCCCTAACCCCAATATCTAATTTATCAGCTGTCAAGTCTACAGAATTTACATACATGGATATACCACTGAGACTGGGTCATTCTTACAAGTCAGAATGTGCACATACATGTAAAGCAATTCAGCTGATCGATACTGATCCACAGTTAATCTACATGTAAAAGCAAGATTGTATGTCTGATACATCCTCAATCCCTTTCATACTTTTGGATGATTCTACAATGAAAGAAATATAACCAGAAGACTAGTGATATATAAATATTTTTGGACCTTTTTCACCAAAGAAATTATTAACAAGCATTACATGTCAGACTTATGTAAAATTGTCGAAAAAGCTTTATAATGTATTTTGTATTTTGAACTGCCTTTTCTTTGACAAAAATAACTTTTATGAGAATTGAATTTGTAACCATCTTGTGTTTTTCATTAACATTCCTGACATTTTAATGTATGGGACCATCTAATTACATCTATAATGTAGTGAAGATAACAGATACATTTGTAATTCCTGGAATATATAAATTCTCCTCTGATCAATGGAGTGTTTTAGTTCAAAGATGCCATGCACACCGTGTGGTAAAGGCCTCTTATTTTACCAGGTATTGCTTCAGTAGCAAAAACAGGTTTCTGTCTGCAAATTCTTGTCGCTACAATATATAATTCCAGCCACCCCCAGTTTCCAGGAAGCCATAAGTGCCAAAAGATGGCTAGATATTTACTACACCTAGATTCACTAAAAAAATATACAAAGGAAATTGCATGGTAATGGTTCTGTCTACTTCAAAACAGATGGTGCACAGATAAATGAAAAATTGCCAGGTTCAAATACTCTTAGAAGAAAAACAAGAGGCCTATCGGTTAATTTGCTTGCTTCCCAGATTCACTTAAAAATTTTCCTTGCTGTTCTTCATCAGATTTTCCTCCTGTAATCCTGACTGCCTTTTCAATGTGGCCCCACCTCATAGCAACAACAATCTAAAATATTTTTATTTGTTGTTTTTCTCCAGTTTACTAATTAAGCCAACTGTGAAAATGATTTGAAAGTCATTTTTGTGTATACTCACACATAGAAATATATATTGTGATGCCCTGTTCACTTGGAGTTTAATTTGCATTAAATAAATGCAAAGTAAACTTATGTTCATCAAACTAATAATGCGAACAAGAGATGTTTGTAAAACATTTATCCCCCCCCCCATCCCCATAGGATCCGGGCCACAATTAAAGGGTGAAGGTCAAATGGCTAAAACGTAGCACATGTAGGAAATTCATATGCCTCCCTTTCAATGATAAAAATAAAAATAGCTCACATGTTTTAGATACTTTTGGGGTATAGAATAAAAGTAGAGTGTCTTAAGTTTACAATGATATGCAGCAAGGTGCATTTCAAGCAAAAAATATGCCTAGAAATATGAATTGAAAAGAGCATTCATTTGGTTTGTTTACACTTTTTTTGCCAAGCGAGAGCTATCCCGAGGTCATGACGTCAGAAGTTTATTAATAACCAGGGAATTCCACATTCAACACCCCTATTTCTGGATGTGAATATTTATCTAACATATTGCTCTATCATGTGGTCAAAGATATTTTGGAAATGAAGATTTTTAAAAAAGTTACAAAGAAAATAAAACACATGTTTTTACTATATAAGTCTATATGTAAGCTAATTGTGGTCCGGGTCCTTATGATGGGGTGTTTGAGGGTTTCCCCTGAATTTATTTTTAAAGATATGACAATGAAATTTTGACAGGAGGTGGGTTATGCATTTTGAAATAGTTTCATAAAATTTTTTTAAAAATATTTAAATATTTTAAAATTAATTTTTATAAAAATTAAAATTTTTTGAGTGATTGAAAAAATATTTAAATTATGCATCCCAGAATGCAATATTTCAGGGGAATTGATATGTCGGTGAAAGAGGTCACATTAGTGCATCCATTGACCACGAAGATAGTTCCTTTTTAAAAATAGAAAAACTGTTTTGTAATGTGTATTTGCATGTGTATTCTTAATAAGGGGTCCCTTTGAAGTCATAGATGAAAGACGAGGTGTTTATTGGAAATGACAGACAAGCTATCCATTGATTTCCCCCACCCAAAATAAGGCGCAATAAGAAGGTGGTGATTGGGCCAATATTTACAATAACATGTGCATGGATTTATTTGCAGGAAACCGCACGTGGAAATGGGATTCAGGCTTTGCCCGACTCATAATTGCACATGCAGGCAGAGGTTGTGTATTGGAGTTTATAATTTCAGGTAAGTGGAAATTATGTTGTGTAAAAATATGTACTTTTCACTAAAATAGAAATGGGGGTTGATGGGTTTGTCATTTCAAGGAAGATGGGGGGGGGGTATAGTTTGTAGTTTTTGACAAAAATATTGATCAGTAAGTATGTATGTATGTATGTATGTATGTATGTATGGATGGATGTATGTATGTACATGTGTGCGTATGTGTATGATGTGTCTTATGTATTTATGTGGAAGTTTTAGGGTTGTGGCCTGGTGTTAATTTTTACACGTTTCTTATACGACTTTGTATAGTAGGTATCTTTTCGAATAATTTGTTTGGCCCTGAGAAGGGCCGTTTTGTCTTCGTCTTGCCAACTCATGTCTGGTAGTAGGTGTGATCCTCTGGATTATGTTCCTTGGACTGTAGGTAGGTGGGTTTGGGATCAAGTTGCCCTTTGTTGTAGGTGCATCCGGGTTTGGTCTTTCCTTTTCTAGCCGCCGCATGTTGTTTTATTAGAGTAGCTTTTCTCTGCATTTCTCGCCTTTTAACTGCTTTTCTCTTTCTGTATTCTCTGCGATAGGCATATTCCTGGTCAATGCTTTTTAGGTACTGATGTGTGTGGCCGGACAGTGGCAATGTAATCTTTGCTGCTTTCATTGATGTTGCTAGTCCCGGACTGTTGTTTTGTCGTAAAATCTCAGCTGAGAGGATTCCTTCAGCATTTCTTGAATAGTTGGTGTGCTTAGGTAAAACTTCGCTGACTGCTCTGTTAAGACCCTCACATTTCTGAGTTGACGTGTTGAGTTTCATTTCCTCAATGGCACTTTGGCTAAGTCGCATCTCAAGAATGACTTTTAACAAGTGCTTGTCATTTTCATTCAGGTGCAGGGATGTCAGTTTGTTCGGGGCGAGGATATAAGACTGATTCCACCAGTTGTGTCTGTCTCCACCTTCACACACCACTGAATTCCTTCGACATTTTGAACAGTCTCCTGAGTAGCAGAGGATGGTACTTTCTACGACAAGAGGAAGTTTACTACAGATGATGTTGATGTCTCCAGTGTAGGTATCCATGAGTTTCTTATAGACTAAGCTGCACCGGGCCTTTACATCTTGTGCAAAAACTTTTCTCATGTCGTCTAACCTCCTTCTTGTTTTGCAGGGGAACATCTCGGGGCTGAAGTGGGCACTGCGACACTGCCGGAACTGGGCTCTGCTGACATGGGTTGGGTCGGCCAGTCGAGTGACTTGCCAGTCTGGATGAAAAATTCGCATGGCATCTTGGAATCCCTGGGCTGACCGGGCATCACCGTCTGTTGTGGCGTGCTTCACCTTGAACCCGTCCGCTGCCAGATCTTCGCCTATGGATTTAGCCATCTCGTACTCTGAAAGAGGTGAGAACATTTCAATATTAGCTGTGCAGTCTTCATGACCCCCCGGACAATGAACATCATAACCATTACCTCGAAGCCAGGTTCCAGTCCAGCAAAGTTTGTTCTGCATTGCCGAGCCAATAATATACTGTTTGTCTGTGTTGGTCTCGCATGCAATGGCGTAAGCTTGTGATGCATTGTAGCCTGGCTTTTTGCTGCTACCGAAGGTTATGGAGTTGTAGCGTCCATCTATGGCAATGTCCAGTTCCTCTGGATGTTCTTGACCTTTGACCTGGTTGATGGCCTTAACCAGTTGTCTCTTCTCACCCATGTCTTTTTTATTCAGGGCTAGAGTGGCTGTGTTGACCTGGTTGCTGGCCCTTTGCATGGAACTGCGGTTAGGAGGTGGAATGTCCAAGGCAGCTACCATTTCCCGACTGCGTCGATTCCCCATGGAGGTGTTCTGCAGGGCTAATTGAAAGTTCCAGTTGATACTGGCAGGATTAGGGCCTGGTTTGTTAAAGGTAGGAATTTCAGTGTATAATTTATAGTAATTTGTTTGAAAATTACATACCGTACACAGTAGTCTCTTCTGCCATCCAAACCCCCATTTCCTCTGTCCTGAGTATTCCCACACTGGAAAATTACAGTGCTTGGCCTGGTCAAAGTGGCATTTGGCTGCATCATTAAACATTTCCAAGACCAATGTTATGTCAACAATGCGGTTTCCCTCAAATTCATAAGACGTCTCTTCATTTTTTAGCTCCTGGCATGGCTCAGGTCTGGGACGAAGGATCGGTGTCCTTGAGATGTTTTCCTGGCCTTCAGCAAGGGGATGTGCTGTCTCGGTCTCTGGGGATCCCTGGATGTTTGACGCTGAACTTGAAGCTCCTGCGGCGTTTGACGTAGCCTGATGAGCCTTAATATAATGAGTGTTCCCTTTTTTAAATCCAAAATTAAGATTTTTTCTTCTTTTACGGTCACCTTTCATTGTTTTCATGTGTAGTGAAGAGTGGATTTGAAAGCAAGATTGAATTATGACAATGTTTATTTGGACACTTTTTTAGTGGTATTTACTGCAATATATTCCTTTGACAATCACCTGTCAAAACAGACTCCCATAGGGTATTAAGATTACCTATACAAAGACTCTTAGCCAATCAGCTGCACATGGCCCCTCTTCACAGTCAGGAAAAAGGATATGGGGGTGGGCTTAAAAATCAGTTTATTTTGAATGTTATGTACACTGTTATCAGTAATGTGATACATCATTTGATTTATGAATAAATGTACTTTAAATGTTTACCCCTATTGTCACTCTCAGATTTTCATGATAGATTTTATATTTCTTAATTTAAGAAAATTTTATGAAAATGCAGGGTACAGATCATCAAATTACCTAGAAATCTAAAAATCTTGTATTTTACATATTTAAGAGTGTGTGTGTGTTTAAGAGGTATCAACAACTTACTTGTAATAATTAGTTCCTTTTATTGTCTAACAGTTTTTACATATTTCAATTTTAAAATTTCATACTTGCCATTTTTTGCCATTTTCTTTCCTGTATTGCCTTAGTATACACAATATGTAATTTTACATGTAGATATCAACCAATTTCAATCAAACTTGGTATATTAGTTAAGTAGTATCTAAGGATTTCAAATATGGCCTTAAAATTTTTTAATGAATTTTATGCCCCCATATAGGATCCGGGCCACAATTAAAGGGTGAAGGTCAAATGGCTAAAACGTAGCACATGTAGGAAATTCATATGCCTCCCTTTCAATGATAAAAATAAAAATAGCTCACATGTTTTAGATACTTTTGGGGTATAGAATAAAAGTAGAGTGTCTTAAGTTTACAATGATATGCAGCAAGGTGCATTTCAAGCAAAAAATATGCCTAGAAATATGAATTGAAAAGAGCATTCATTTGGTTTGTTTACACTTTTTTTGCCAAGCGAGAGCTATCCCGAGGTCATGACGTCAGAAGTTTATTAATAACCAGGGAATTCCACATTCAACACCCCTATTTCTGGATGTGAATATTTATCTGACATATTGCTCTATCATGTGGTCAAAGATATTTTGGAAATGAAGATTTTTAAAAAAGTTACAAAGAAAATAAAACACATGTTTTTACTATATAAGTCTATATGTAAGCTAATTGTGGTCCGGGTCCTTATAATTGGAATTTTTCTAAGTCCAAGGGGCATAACTCTGACAAAAATGACCCAATTGTACCCGAAGCAGAAGTTGACCTAGATACTTTTATGATAAATCTGTATACCAAAAATTCAAAATGTGCAACCTCAGCAAAGAAAATGAGCGGAAACTGATGGTGGACCAACAGACAAACAGACGGACAGATAGCACTCACGGCAGAATTGCTTTCACATGACAGCTCATGCAAAGTAAACTAATGAGAATTTTAACATAAATCACTCCACAGTTAGGCCCCGTAATGCTATTATGATATCTGCACCTGCAGCTCAGGTGAGCTGAAATTGTCATCTATGAATTTCCAGTAGTCCATACAATTTGTAAATATAGAAATTTATACAAATTAAATATAACGTGAAACAATAAACCAGATGGCCTGTAACAAAAACTGCACAGCTGGGAGAATTCATGTATCTGGCCATGGATTTTGATGATGTGTTGTTTTCTACTGCCCTGTTTGTTCAACATTTTTATAAAGGTTACATTGACTATGCTACACTTAATACCTACACAAAAATTAAATGGGAAACAATGGGAATTTTTATTATGCAAGTCTCCATTTTTGAAAAATGTGTTTGACTTATCTCATAAACATGAATTGTTACTTCAGTGCACAGTTTATACATACCCACAAAATGAACAAAATTTTCTGAACTGATTTTTAGACATCAATCTAATGTTCTAGAATATTGGTTTTGATATATTTCCAACTGCGTAAAAGTGCTTTATTTATTGATAATGTGCAATTTTTCTCTACAAGATTAAACATTTCTCCATATCTTATTTAAATTATTATCACATATATATATATATAAGCATATACTTTATACTTACTGGTACTTTTGTCTGATGATAATGAAGGACACATGATACAAAATGGAAGGAAATACTGAAATAATACAGTAATATATTCATTAATTGCAGGTATAATGTACAAAAAAAAGAATCTTACTTTTCATACTATAACATTTTTCTTTCAATTAAGACTGTCTACAATATTTTCTTTTTTCATTGAAATAAAATAATACATAATTATATACATGTGACAAAACAAATACAGTGTCAAACTCTGAAAACCACACCTCAGACACTAGCTCACACATGATTTTGTAGATACTGCTTTTCACATTTTACCATCCAAGTTTTAGGAACAATTGAGAGTTCTCTCTCTTGGCACAGCAAGCATTGATCTATCAAGCTGACACACCACAATTAAGATTGGCACTTTAACCTTATTTTGTTGTGTAAAAGAATTACAATAGACAAGATGAGGATTCCTTCACTGAACCTCCTGAACCTATTAAAAACAAGCGTTCGGCAAACTGTGTGAGCTATCTCTGGCTACCCAGGCCTAACATATTAGGCGTCGGAAGCAAATTAAAAGTGGGGGGACTAAACCAACAAATAAGGTAAACCCCAATTTTCAATGCCTTATATATTATGTCTATCTTTGCAAAAAGAGTGGGGGGCTTAGCCCCATTGCCCGGTTCTGGCACCTGTGCCTAAACTACCGTATACCACATTCCTTGATCCCTTTAAATGCAAGTCAATCTTTTCTGTGAGTCTATGAGGACACAAACCTATAAGCTCCATCAGCAGATCTTTCACCAGTTAATTATGGACAAGGACATGATACCAAATGCAACAGAAATGGAGGATCCCAATGTTTCAGAACAAGGTTCCAACCCTTAAACTCGTACAAGTTATCTATCAACAGTTTTATCAAATTCATTTCACTTTAAAGCCATATATGGCGTAACTGATCAAAAAATATATTTTTGAAAAATACAAAATTAAGTAAAGAAATATAGTTAATACATCTAAATTAAAACTTTTCATACAATTCTGAACACGGAGAACACCTCGTTTTAACTAATAATACGATTTTATCTTCTCTGTAATGTGTTATTTAAATCTTTTGTATTTTCTTCCAAGTCGGAGAAAATTCCGAGAATCCAAATTAAATTGTGATATCTTTATAACGCAATTGACTTAAATTTTGTAATTTAGGGAAAAGTTCTATCTTTATATAAAGTAATGATACAAATAATAAGTTCTTATAATTTTAGTCTAATAATTTTCATTGTACATACGCCATATATGGCTTTAATCATAATTATTGTAATTCATTTAAAAAATCATCAAAAAATTATATTCCCTTAACTTAGCAACAATCTATTGCATTTCCATGCTTACTACGTCAAGGGTCCTGAGTCAACACACTCTCGTTTGGAAAACGGCAACACACGTGTTTACTCATGACTCAGCTAGGACCCTAGCCCTAGGATGTTGCATTTCAGATACGTTAAGATTTTTTTACCATTTATTAAAGCATACGCATCCTTAAAGTTTTCCTTGAGTGAACAGAGATATGTACATGATAGAGTACACTGTTCCTCACGGGATGATCAGGTGAAACCCACTAGCAGTCTAGCTCTTCCAGTTTCAGCCTCTAGACTGTTAGATTAATAAACAACAAGAAAAATATACCGACTTTCCAGGCTTGTCACGTGCATCTAGGCCTACTGCTTTCAGGTCTGATGGTTGCATGTAGGTCTCCGAGATCCGCGAGTCTACCCACCCAAATCACCCGCCATCCATCAGCACTGGGGTCAGCATCTGTGCGAATCACTCAATTTCGGATATTTCCGGAAAATAAGATCGATAACTCAGGAGTCTCAGCTGGTGTATCCTTCAATTTTACCTAAATTTTCAGGAAGATACATTCTGCTCGTAATACTTTACGAATAAACCATTTGTTGTCATAGCATAACATTTTGCAAGGGGAGTTGGGTTGGGGTGGTGGGGGTGGGGTGGGGGCCGGGGGGGGGGGTACTGAAAATCTTCGGGAAAAAAAATATGTTTCCTACTTATGTGGGGGTCTGTTGCAAATTGATTGAAATTTTAATTTTCAATTCTATATGTCTTTTTACGAATAGATCTCTTCTTTCTTTTTTTTCAAGATGCTACATATCATACTTAGTGTCGACTGATTTTTCTTAGAATTATAGGCCATGAGGCCTACCACTCAGATTCTTCTTCAGTTGAAATGAAACATTTTGAATCGTACATATAATTTATAATTTTTAAATTTAATTTGCCTTTGGACCATTTTTTAGCTACATTTTTATCCCAATCGCATCCCCAATATTTGAATGGAAATTAATCTGGGTTCATTAACAGGGTTATAATAATAAACCTCTACGCAGGATAAAACTTTAAAACTGGTTAAATATTTAGTTTTTTTTCACAAATGAAATCCCGATATTTCTTCTTCGATAGAAAGCAGACAGTATCGGCATCGAGTAACAAGTAATTGTGCAGCTTTTTCACAAAAATATGAAATGCATTTTGTCTTGGGTACTGACCAGAAAATGCACATTGTATATTTGAAAATCTTTATCTTCCTGGATACCTAGCTGCAATAATGCCTTCTTGAAACACCTTTGAAAGGCGTTTTACAACTCATATTGACGCATTGCAAGGCTATATAACGTTTATTTTTCGCGTCAAATGCTGTTTAGGTCTCGAGGGGTGTTTCCAAAGTCGGTAGGTCTCACCTTACAATACCTTGAGTAATGCCAATCGTCTCAAACAGGTTCTGCCAGAGAATCACATATCACACCCTAAAGTTTGGTGACCGTGGTAATACCATTGGTAGCTGCGTGACAGTGATGAAGGCGAGACTCCATTAAAAAAAAACGGAACAGAAAACCAATGACCCTCCGGGCGAGTCCAGAGGGGGGGGGGGGGGGTTGCATGGCTAATTACCAGGCAAAGTGAAATCTTCATAATTACGGAAACCCAAAATACACTGAGCACACAACGGGTGGCAAGCCCTCTGACTGTGATAATCGTAGAGGACAAGGTACAGCTAGGTGGATGAAAACAAGTTGGAAGTCCACAGTCCGAGGTCCCTATGTACACATGAAAACTATACAGAGAAGGAGATGGACAGATATGGACTGGATATTTTCGGGCTAGGTGAAGTCAGATGGCTTATATTGCAAAGTGGAAAACTAATGCTTTTTTCAGGAAGATAGGATGAATAAATCAAAAAGGAGTAGTAATAATGCTGGCAGAAAGCTAAGAAGTCATTGATGGAATGGAAACCTATAAATGGGAGTTGATGTGCGCAAGATTCTGTTCATCAACCCTAAAAGTAAGCTTTATTGTAGTGTATTCATCAACAAATCTAACACTGAAGATACAAAAGAAGCATTCATGGAACAATTGGAGGAAGTCAATAATAACATTCCAAAACATGACATACTGCTCATTATTGGAGATTTCAATGCAAAGATAGGCAGCTACATCAAAGACCATGAAAGTGCTATGGGGAAGCAAGGGATAGGAGAGCAAAATGAACAAGAGGCCCATGGGCCTTATAGGTTACCTAAATACCCCGTAACAACTTTCCAACAATTGAATTTGATTTGTGTTTTAAACCACAGGCCATGAAATTCGCAATTTTGAAAGAGGCACCATAGTTTATCATAATTATACACGTAGCATGCTTACTTTGGTTACTTAAATGCCAGAGGTATATCAGAGTAACAAAGAGAAAAAAATGCATTTCCACTTTGTAACCAGTTGTGCACCCCATCCCACAGGAACCAATGACCCTGGGGCCATTGGTTCATTATACAATGCATTTTCACTATATAATCTATATAGCCCCGCCCTAGCACTAGAACCCATAACCCTGGGGTCATGAGATTCACAATTTTGCAACTGAACTATGCACTTGGTTAGGTAATTTAATGCTCATGAACAGAGGAGAAGAATTTCAAAGAATTTATGCATTTTCACTATATAATCTATATAGCCCCCCCCCCTAGCACTAGAACCCCTGACCCTGGGGCCATGAATTTCACAATTTTGGTAGAGGACTCAATGCTAATTACATTCATACCAACAGTTTGACTGCTTGATTTCCAGGATCAAAGAAGAAGGTTTTTAAAGATTGCAATAATTTTAGTGGTTTTGGCCCCACCCTCAGGCCCCAGGGGGGCAGGGACCAGGAAATTTTCAATTTTTGTTCCCCTTCACCCTATATGCCAAAATTGGTTGAGCGGTTTCAGAGAAGCTGAAAATGTTCAAATGTTAACGCACGACGACGGACGAAAACGGATAGCAATAGGTCACCTGAGTTTACTCAGGTGACCTAAAAAGAAATACGACTACATGGATTGGATGTGTGCGGGATCAACAAGTTATAGTGATCACAGGAACGCTATCACCAACGGGAAGACCGAAAACCAAAATGATCACGTGCTTATGTCAAAAGAACACAGAACATCCGTCGTAGATAAGGGCGATAAAAGGAACTGATGCAATCAGCGATCATAAACTGGAGTCATCGTCGCAAATCACGGTCAAAATGTACGATCCTCTCCCATTCTGGAGAGAGATATGTATGCGGACTCCGGACCGTGGCTTGAGACGATGAAACTGAAGTATGATCAGAATCAAATTGAACAAACAAAAGCGAAATGCAGATACAGATTGAAAGAAATATGTCACAAATCTACCACAGCTAGAAAAAGGGAGAACATTTAAGGATTCCAAATGCTTGAAGAATTGGTAGGTATGAAAGATACCTGGGAAAGTATGATAAAAGATTACATCGAGAAAACAGACAGCATACCTGGAGAAAAAGAAAAAGGGACAAAAGTTTTGGATAAGCAGATACATGTACTAGTACTCTTGAAGGATGGTAGAAGAAAAGACGCAGCTAAAAGTCAAACTTACTAAACATGCTAAAGGCAGATCAAAAAGGATGAAAAGAAGCTGAAGAAACAAATATTCAACTAAATACAGAGAGGTAAAACTTAGCATGAGAAATGAAAGGGGAAAATGGACAGAAGACAATTTCATTTAAGCAGAAAAAGTAGCAAGTAATGGGCACACGAAAACATTGTATGAGATAATTATAGCATTCAGTTTTGAGAATAAAGGCATGGCAACAATAAAGGACAAAGAGGATAAAATCCTGAACAGCTAAGGCGAAAGAAAGAAAACACGGAAGGGGCACTTTCAATCAATATTAAACCACCCATGACTAGAACATCCATCAGAGGTTTTAAAAAGCAAAGGACAAGCAGTAGATGAGATAGATATAAGCAGCCTCATACGAAAAGAAGAAATTATCAAAGCTAAACTAAAGAAAAGAAAATCTGGAGGAGTAGATGGGATTACAGTTAGAAGCAGACGCAGAGGCATCAGTAGGATACTAGTATTTGGGGAAAAACTCTTCACAATACTATGGAAGCAAGAAATCGTATCATCGATTTGGAGTAAAGGCCTGATTGTGAAGATTCCATAGAAAAGCGATATATCGGTCTACTAGTAATTAAACAGATATCACACTTTTGTCCGTGTCAAGCAAAGTATTCTCCAAAAAAGTGATACAAAAGATCCAAGATGGAGTGGAAAACCAGATGCGTGAGAAACAAGCTGACTTTAGAAGATGGAGGGGTACAAGAGCACAACTAAAATTGGATTTTTGGGGGTAAAATCCGTGTTCATGAGATATTTACACTTACCTGCCTCCTTAACTATTTGCAATTTCCCTCTAGTTCCCCATACAATGCGTCGATATATTTTTTTAGAGTAACTACGGTATCACCTCCAGTTATCCCCCTTAACTATAACTCTTCAGTTTCTCTCGACGAACTTAAAAGGTTCTGACCTTTCAACTTCCTCGAGAGGGGAGGTGGGCCGGATGAGGCAGGTAAGTGTAAATATCTCATGAACACGGATTTTACCCCCAAAAATCCAAGTTCATTTCAATATTTCCACTTACCTGCCTCCTTAACTATTTGCAAAGGAATTTGCAGCCCAGTTCGGAGGTGGGAGAGGAAAAGTAAGTGACAAAAGTACATAAAAGGTACATAATTACCTATTTTTGCTTCCCTCTCCTTGATTAGTCCAAAATTGCTGCCTTGGCAAAAATGGACTGATGATCTGGAACATCTTTAAGATAAAATGATGTAAAAGTAGATTCAGATGCCCAGTGTGCTGCCCGTAAAATCTCCTCTGCAGATACACCACAGAACAAAGCCCAGGAAGTTGACAAACGTCTAGTGTCATGTGCTCTAACTAGATTCAATGTTGCTGTTTCTGCATTATCATAAGCAAAACGAACCATGCTAACTATCCATCTTGCAATCGTGTCTTTTGATGCTTCCTTGTGGTTATTCTGTTGATATGTCACAAATAACCTATTCGACTTCCGAATAGTTTTCGTTCTATTGATATAAATCTTCAATGCACGACGAGGACACAATTTTAAATCCTCTGAATCTGTGGCGAATGAATCAAATGCAGGAATATAAATAGGGTCCCATGGTCTATTTATGGTTTGAGTCTTTGCCAGGAATTCCATATTTGGTAACATTTTTATTCCTTTCCTCTCTATTCTAAAGTGACCATCATCTAAAGTGAGGCTATGAATCTCGCTCACTCTCGAAGCTGAAGCTATGGCTACCAGAAAAACAGTTTTAAGAGTCAAAAACTTTAGATCTGCTGACTCTAGTGGTTCAAATGGATGTTTTGTGAGAGTTAACAAAACCAGTGGTAAATTCCAGTTCGGTGTCAACTGACGTACAGATGGGTGTTTATTAAATAAACCTTTCAACAATGAAGAAAGTTCTGTACTTGTACCAATACTGCTCCCATTCTGATGAACTATTGCTATTGCTGACTTGTATCCAGCTATAGTCTGTGGTTTACACTTTCTCACATTGAAGAGATACATAAAAAATTGTGCTAACTCGGGTATAGATGTTGTAATGGGATTAACACCCTGTTCTTTACACCAACTGTTATATATTCTGAGTCTTGCATCATAAACTGTTTGTGTAGATGTCTTTCTGGCATTTGCCATAATTTCTGCAATTTCTTCAGAAAATCCTCTTGACTTGTGTTGCAATTTGACAGTTTCCATGCTACAAGATTGAGAGTTTCTAGGTTTTGATGGAAAATCTGATTGCGATTTTGAGAGAGAAGATCTGGCCACAGTGGTAATTTGACTGGTACATCGATCAGAAGATCTATTATCTGAGGATACCACGACTGTCTGGGCCACATTGGAGCAATGAGAAGTACAACACTTTGCTCTTCCCGTATCCTCTGTAAGACTTTGGGCACAAGAATAGGTGGTGGGAATGCATAAGCATAAATCCCTTCCCAGTCCATTGCTAAGGCATCTACTTGAAAAGCATTGATGTCCGGAAACGGGGAGCAATAGACTGGCAACTTCTTGTTTTGCGCAGTTTCAAACAAGTCTATACATGGAGTTCCTAATTGTTGGAACAATAAATTTACAACAGTTTTGTTGAGTGACCATTCTGTCATTCGAACTTTTTTCCCCCGGGAAAGTGCATCTGCAAGAAAATTCTTCTTCCCTGGAATGTGAACAGCTCGTATTGTAATTTTGTTCTCCATGCACCACTGGAACAACTCCCAAGTTAGATAACACAGTTCTGGTGAGTGTGACCCCCCTTGTTTGTTGATATAGCTTATCACTGTTGTGTTGTCTGACCGTATAAGGATCACTTTTCCCTTTATCAAAAACAGAGCTTCTTGAAGAGCCAACTGCACTGCCTTTAGCTCCAGCCAATTTATATGCTTCTGTTGATATTGCTGCGGCCAGACCCCTGACGTCTCCCAGTTCTCCAGGTGTGCTCCCCAACCCTGTTCTGAGGCATCTGTAATCAATGTCAGTTGAATTGGCGGATCCTGTAAAGGCATTCCTTTGAAAAAGTTTTCCCGATTCATCCACCACTGAAGATGCTGAATTAGGATTGGCCGGATCACTATCACATGAGTAAGAGGGTGAATCTTTGGTCTCCACATTGCCAACAGGTATAACTGTATGGGACGCATGTGTAACCTTCCCATCGGAACCAGATAAATGCATGAAGCCATCTGTCCTAACAGTTTGAGTATAACTACTGCTTGAGTGTGTTGACTTATTGATAAAGTCTGCACTACGTCTGAAATACTCTGAAACCTGGCCTCTGTTGGTGTCGCAATGCCCTCTACCAGATTGAAATGTGCTCCCAGGTACTCTATATGTTGGGATGGCACTAGGGACGACTTTTCCCAATTCACTAATAATCCCAGCTCCTGAACTAGATGTAATACATAGTCTCTCTGTTGAAGAAGAGTTCTCTTGTCTGGATTGATCATCAACCAATCGTCTAGGTACATGAATATTTGGATTACCATTTTTCTTAAGTGTGCCGCTAGAACTGCCATTATCTTTGTGAAGACCCTTGGAGCAGAACGAAGTCCAAATGGCCTTGCTCGAAACTGGTAACTCTGGCCTAGAAATCTGAATCTTAGAAATTTCTGGAAATCTGTGTGAATTGGAATGTGGAAATAGGCATCGGTCAAATCCAGTGAGATTGCAAAGTCCCCTTTTTTCATTGCTTTCATTATAGAACACAATGTTTCCATTTTGAAATGTCGAGGCACTATTAACTGATTTAGAGGTTTTAGATTTAGAATTGTCCGAAGCCCTCCTTGTTTCTTTGGCACCACAAAAATGGTGGTGTAAAACCCTTCGTTTTCTTGCCCTGCAGGCACAGGTTCTATAACATTTTTTCCTGACAACATGTTTATTTCTGCTAAAATAACTGATTCGTGAATACCATATCTTGGTACACATGTTTCCTTGATATTTACATCGGGTTGAATCATTAATTCCAATTTTAACCCTTCCCTTAGGGTTTCTATTACCCACTGATCCTGCGTGACTACGGTCCACTTCCTGTGGAATTCTAGCAAACGTGCCCCTACCTGGGGAAACATATTTACAGACTGGCTGTTTACGAGATTTACTTCCTTGGAGTTGGAAACCCTTTCTGGTTCCCAAAGGTTCGCCTGGAAAAAGAATTTTTCCTGTTCCCTTGTCCTGAACGAAAATTGTCCTTGCTGTGATCAGAACTTAAGGCATTAGTCTCACTAGCTTTAGTGACTTTTGCAGAATGAGCAGAAGTCTCATTTACATCTGCTTTCCTCTTTCTGCTCAACTCGGTAGAGTTCCTATTTTCTCTACTCTTGAAGTTCTTATTATAACCCTTTGATGCATTGTAAACATTTTGGGTTTCTCTAGCATCTCGTAGATTCTCTGCAGATGTATGGAGAGAATCAAAGTACTGTCCGTTAAACAACTGGTTGCCAAAAATAGGTAGTTTTAGCAATTTCTTCTCCGTTGCCTTGCTTATAAAATCTACATTTTTAAGAAAAACTTTTCTTCTACTCAAGACTGAATTTGCCATAACTCTTGCTGTCAAATCAGCCATGCTTCTGAAGCAGTTGATGAGGGCTTTACGTCCTTCCACTCGATCATCCTCACATTCAGCCTCATCTAAGAAAGCTGCTATCATAGTGCCATATGAAATGGCTCTGAATAAGGCTCTTGCTGAATTGTCAATTCGCCGAAAGTCATTATCTAACTCCTTATGAAAAGGAGAAAGATTCACTTTAGATTTTCCAAAACTACCCTTCTGGCCTACTACTAATCCCTCCTCAATGTTGTCATCCAACTTTGGAGGATTACAAAAGGCGTCAAAGTCATCCTTTTTAACCATAAATGCTTTATCATCTCTGTCACGTACTGACCTATTTTTTAAATGCCCCGAAGTAGCTTCTTTCTCAACCGTCTTAATCATATCAATGAGTGTTCCTTCAATAGGCATTTTAAGGAGAGACTTTTTCTTGTCACTCGTCTCCCTTCAATCGCGAAGAAATAAATGATTTTCTTTCATTTTCTAATGGATCCTCAGCTTCAAGATCAATATTGAGAACTTTTGCCATCTTTGAAACAAAACCGTTCCACTGTAGCGGATCAGAAGAATCTGGTGCACCAAAAGGCACCTCTACGGCCGCATCTGAATTGGTACACAAACCACCAAATGATGCATTAGAATCTATATCCTCAAAATCATTATCTCGTGCATTAACAGACAACACATCTGCAACACTGGACTCAAAGGCTGACATTTGTTCATCATAAGCCTTAAACTTGTCAAAATGAGGTCTGCTTATGGTTGCCGTTTTGGAATTGGTGGTCTCATTTCCTCTGGTCAACCTTGCCTCGTTTGTTGCAAATGCCGATATGTTATGTTGATCATTAAAATTTTCATCAACATTCTTTTGTTTAAGTAACAATTCGACCTGCTGTCTTACTTGTTCTTGAATAATTGCGGATAAATCCACGACGTCGGGTCTGTTACGTTCGGCATTCAGTAAGGCATTGTCGTTTGACTCCTGGACTGCCGCCTCCACAGACGGACTTACGTCCTGCACTGCCATGCCGTCTCCACAGACGGACTGAGGCACCTTACTGTTCATTTTAATTGTTTTCTGTATGAGGAAAACCGCATGTCCAATATGGCGTCGAGAGAAAACTGAAGAGTTACAGTTAAGGGGGATAACTGGAGGTGATACCGTAGTTACTCTAAAAAAATATATCGACGCATTGTATGGGGAACTAGAGGGAAATTGCAAATAGTTAAGGAGGCAGGTAAGTGGAAATATTGAAATGAACAAACACCGTAACATCATAGAGCAATGTAAGAAATGTAGGAGAATGGAACACTGCATTGTTTGTAAACTCAGAGTAAACAATGAAAAAGTCAAAGTGATGAGACTCAACTCGGACATAATAGAAGCAGTCAAGAATGATGGATGTGAGGGGAAGTGTGAATGTGTATGTGAATGTGTTTAAAAATCTTATTATGTAACTTGACGTGTCACTTTTTGAATAAAAAAAAGGATGGTTGTAGAAACAATTACTTACCTTGAATGCTTGATGACACAGGGAGGATCTGATGTTGACATCAACAGATTTTGAACAGCTTCTTATATAGAAGGTTAAAAAAATCTAACAAAAGTTAAGTTATACAGTACTTAATAACAATTGTTCCTGTAGTTCTAATGTTTGAGGGTGTAATGCGGAAAACAAAGGCGCAATACAAAAGAAAGATTGACATCTTCCAGAATGGAGAAAAATTTTGAGAATAAGATTGATTAAAATATCAAATGAAGAACAGCAACAAAGAGGAATCGAATTGGCCGTTTACTAAGGATGGAGTACACCAGGATTTGTACCACTGTACTAACATGGCAACCAGAAGGAAACAAGACAGTAGGTAGGCAGATAACAACGTACTCGAGAAGAACAGAGCAAGAATTATTGCACAACAATATATTCAAGAAGTAGTTTGAGTCAGACGTGGATACTCAAAAATTCCAAAGAACTTTTGGACAATTTGAAATCACAAGATTTTACCAAAATCAACAGCTTAAAAACTTACGACTTTTCAACTTAATACACAACCATTCCCCACGATAAATGAAAGTCCAGACTTTTTGATATCATTAACAGCTGCTTTTTTAATAAAAATGGAACTCGTAAATTAACTTACCTGGTCATTGGTCATTTGCAAAATCATTTTCTTAAAACACGTTCTGATTGCAAACACAAGTACTCTGAAGTTGACATAAAAAAGATGCTTGAGTTTCTGATTGACAATATCTATGTGGTTTTGGAGACCAGATCTTCCAACAATCTATTGGTATACCCATGGGTACTATTTTTGTATTCATATGAAGCAGAATTTGTGCAAAATCTTATGCGTGAAAAGAAGAAAACACTTGCTTTGGCCTTCAACTCGACATTTAGATATATCGACGACGTGTTATCAATTACCAATGGTAATTTCCATTCCTATGTCGATATGATATATCTTGGTGAGCTTGAGATAAAAGATACCACCAAGTCTGACACATCTGTTTCATACTTGGATATTTAACTTGAAAAAGACGTTAATGGTAATCTAACAACCAAGCTCTATGATAAACGTGATGACTTTAACTTTTCTCTCATCAGCTTTCCATACTTAAGGAGCAATATACCTCCATCACCTGCATACGGAGTTTATATATTTCAGTTGATTCGATACGCAAGAGCATGCTCTACGTATGAACAGTTTCTAAAACAAGGTAAATTTTTGACAAACAAGTTGATGAAACAAGAACATCAGCAGTCTCGTTTAAAGTCATCAATTAATAAGTTCTATGGTCGATACAATGATCTTGTCAGCAAATACAATTTATCATTGAGTCAAATGCTGACTGACGTTTTCATACTAATTGTTAGTCCATTATTTATACACTGAATTGACGACGGTTTTTTTCTGTTATTTCCCGATCATACCAGGAGCACACGTCGGGTGGGACCGGTCGACAGGGGATGCTCACTCCTCCATGGTACCTGATCCCATCTGTGATGTTTTGGAGGACCGTGTTTACTCTGCTCCTATTTTGTATTGTTTTATGGACTTTGATATTGAATACTGTTCGTTATACCAGGGGTATCCATATCCTTCATTGCATCTGGATTAAAATTGCCGGGAATCAGCGAAGGCACTAGTAAAAGACAGAGGCAGGTGGAGGCAGTGTATGGGGGTCTTATGTGTCAGCGGATAGGGATAGAGGTGAGGTGATGTACCTTTTTTGGTTTGCGTCAAAAAGCATTTGAGATAACCACTAAAAATTTATTTTAAAAAAATCCCGAAGCAAAAATGAACATTTCAGCATGCTTTAATTGAAAGTCGAATCTAAGAACTACACATGGGCCAAAGAAGGTTTAATTTTTACAGCAGCTATCCGTAACTTTGCTTTCCAAATCAGTCCTAATCCTATTGCCATGGTTACAACAACAGTCACCGACATGGCAGTCATAACAGTCAATTGAATTGTGTGCCATTTTGCGGGAATGTCCGAAGTTTTAGATGGTGATGTGCTTGTCTTGAGGCCATATGGCACGTTGGTTGTTCTCTTTGGTTGTTTAGGTCTTCTTGTCTTCGCCGTTTGCCTTGGAAAATTCGT